AAAAGTCACACACAAATATTCAAAAAATAAAGGAAAAGTTTTATGGGCAATCTAGGATGTACAATGTATGGATGTATGAGTCTTCTTGATTTTTGCTTGATTTAGAAGTGGAAACACAATGAATGCTTTTAGGCTTTTATCTCAACTATGTTAATTTATAATTTTTTAAATCTCATATCTAAGGGGTTGTTTGGATACCTGGAAATATATTTTCTGTGAAATATATTATTGGCGTAATACATTATTGTGTAATGTATTACCTGCAAATGGATTGATACTGTTTGGGTAGTATTTAGATGCAACCTGGGAAATACATTGCTACTGTTTGGCTATGTTGAGACGAAATATAGGAAATGCATTACCAACATTTTACCAACACTTACCTATAAACTATCACTTTTTTCTTTTTTGTCACAAAATTCCATTGAAATGTGAAATTAAAATCATCATCACACCGTTCCAAAAAGATTTTTCTAATAATAACATCACCATTCTAGCAAGAGAGAGAGAAAGAGAGAGAGAGAGATAGATAGATAGATAGATAGATAGAAATAAAAGTATTAATAATCACCATTGTAAAGATAGAGAGTGCAAAGTATTGATCTTAATCATCACCATTTTAAAGAGAGAATGAGAATGTGAAATAAAATTGTCATTGATGCGACAAGATTTACTAATATTATTATAGATATAGAAACTGATAGAGAAGTTCATCATCATGGTTTTCTTTTGCTACACCTATTGACTCCACAATTTTTCTTCGATGGCATAACCGATGTTGATTTCTCTAATGGATTGGTGGTCATTCCATTCGTCCTTTATGGGACCGGTGTCTCTGGGAAGTCCCATCATCACCTATTTCCTCAACACCATCATCATCATCTAAGCCGACAATCGTATCTCGAACATCCTCAACATCATCATCAATGTCTCTCTCTCAATGTGCTGTCGTCCTAACACCAGTACCCTCGGCAAAATCATTGCCAACAATTTTGCTCAACTCCTTTCAGTATTCAAAGGACTTCCCTTTGAAGTTCTTTACAAGCGGATTAGACTGCATGATTAATATAATATGCATTAACTTAAATAACTAATTTATATTTGTTCAAAATAATAAAAAATTAGATAGATGCTAAACATGCACATACCATTACATAATTATCCCATAAAGATTCATCGATATTAATCAAATATATTAATATTTCAGGAGCCTATAAAATCTCATGCATGCATTTCAAGGAACTTGGAGAACTATGACAACTCGAAGTTGGAGAAAATCCTTTTTCAACATAATCAAGTTTCAACTAGCTAATACCATAATGAAGTAAGGACCAACAAAGTCTGGTGACATAGGGATAATGCTCACTATAGACGCAATAGGTAAGTAATCACGGTCGTGCACCTAAAATAATGACAGTTATGTTGTAGTTCAAGGACAGGTGCAATTTTGTAAAAGACAGCAGGGGCTTGCAAAGATAATTTAGGTTAATAAAAAGGTGGAGGCCTGATCCAAAACCACCATAACCAGTGGCTCTTCACTTAAACTCATGTCTATAAGGGACAAAATTTTGTGCCAGGGTTGAACACATCTGCAATCCCAATGTTATTAACTTGCTAAGCCTTTTAGCAGCAAGCGAAAAAATAGATTGTCAAATGGAAATAAACTCCATGGTAGATTTCTAGTGGCCGATCTCCAGCATGTGTGATTTTTCTAGCATAAGGAAGGTATTACTTTATACATTGCAACAAATTCAAGAACAAGATTGCTATCACTGTCCAAATTCTAATGGCTTGTTGAATTATACTCATTTTTTACTCCACTATGCTGCTGCAGCCAGGGATGCCTTGATTATATACCTTAGCCTGCAAAATTATTCACCGACTACCCAAAAAGTTGGTTTATGTTGTTATAATTATTCACTGACTGCCCAAAAAAGAAAAGAAAAAAAATAGTATGTGGTTGAAGTAGATAGAGCATTGTAGGGATAACACGAGTCACGAATAACATTTGCAAGGGAAAATTGCATATACCAAGAGTCATGAATAACATTTGCAAGGGATAACAAGGGAAAATTGCATATAACTTTTGCAAACGATATTAACAAATGGTTCTTTCCACAAACAATGTGTAATGAATAAAATGAATAACACTTTTAAGATGTTGAAAGGCATAAAGCTCTTAATAATAATACAAACTGAATCTATGATATGCAAAGTACCAGCGATTCACATTTTAAGAATACAATGTAACACTCAATCAATTGCCACTTGCAATTCAATAACGCAACAAGGTTCAATCTACTCACCGTTAGGCAAAATAAATCGAGCCACTTACATGTAAAGCATTTTCATGAATTTTAATAACGAAAGTGAGAAATAACGATGAAATTACTTTGTTATCTAAACTATGCAAACTTTGAGCTTCTGTTATTAGGATTCGCCAGTGACTAGATTTGGTTGATAAGCGAAAACACCAATGATCAAATAAGGAAGAGTTGTCAACTTATCTTTCTTGCCACTCTTCACATTGCACGTTATATATCTCATCCAATTGTACAAAATCAAAGTCTCTCCAATCCAGAGAGCTGCGCAGACATTTTTGATTCTCAATTGTCTCAAATTAGCTTTTACTACTTTCACTTCTACCCATTTCCTCTCTTCACTTAAAACCCATATCTTGTCACTTAAATTTCGGGTCACTGGCAATAAGCAAAGCCTGCCATTGCGCTATTGGATTCTAACGAATCCCTTTACAACCCCAACTGGGGTATTAATATTTCCCTATTCCTCTCTCTCTCTCTCCATATTAAAATCCATTAGATGGTGCTCCTTGCCAGAAATTACATAACACGTAGACCCGATGCACACTAACCTCTTTCGTTTGTCCAGTTGAATTTGTGGCAGTGGTCTCCAACTCCCTATCAATGAATCAAATAATCGAAATATGCTTAAACCATGGACCTCTATGGATGTCTAAGTAGAAGTTTTAGCCAATATCTTGAAGTTTTGAGTGAATTTGGGTCCCAAAATTAAGAATATTGAAATCAAACTTTAGAAGAGGGGTGATCTCCTTTTGGGTTATTGGGTTTCCAAGGGTAACCCAAAGAGCATACCATGTCATTGTTAGAGGCCACGTACTCTTGGTCCTATGTGAAAAGAAGATTCTCTTATATTAAAAAGTACTGACTATATCATAAGGACAAACATAAAACATTTGATTACCATGAACGCAAGCAAGGAAGAGGAGAGAGTGGATGTGAGCAAACTGATGGGAGGAGAAAAAATTGATACCATCATTTAGAAATGACATTGAATGTTGAAATGGACTTCAAGGGCAAGGCCACAAGGATCTCTGTTGTCACATCTCTCTATCTTTAGAAACTATTTACAAGAATGCAAAAATTCAACAATTTAAGGGACAAATAGAGAAACTATTTACAAGAATGCAAAGAATTCAACAATTTAAGAGAGAAAAGTAACCGAAATTTGGAAAAATCAAGGTTGCAATCTTATATAAACTTTTTTCATATATATATATATATATATAATTAAATATATTTTATGATTTTTGGGTGAGGTCTAATGGGATCTGATTCCAGTTGGTCCGGTCCGATCCGGGCCCATAAATTCCTCACGGGCCGGAACCGTTCCGTAGGCAGCCCTCTGAGCGCCAATCCATTGACAAGTGGAGAACCAGTCCAGTTGACTTATTAAGATAGGGAGATTTCATTCTATAAACGAGAATAATCCAAAACACCTGAATGGAATATTACGCAACGTTCATACAATCCGATCCTTAAGATGGGGACTCATCTGTATGATATTAATCTCAGCCGTCCATCATTGTACATGTACGGTGGCCTTCATTTTCTCCCCTCATATCTTTCTCTCTCTACCCATTTCCCCTCTTTCTTCTCTCTCTAATCTATCTGAGCCTCATCTTCTTCGAGTCTTCCTGTTTCTACTCTCTATCGTCTTTTTCATCCTTCTCTTTCTAGGCCGACTTCTTGTCTCTTCTCTCTCTAAGCCCGACTTCTTGTCTGTTCTCTCTCTAAGCCCGACTTCTCTCTCTAAGCCTGACTTCTTGTCTGGTCTCTTCTCTCTCTAAACTTTTTGCTTTCTCTCTCTTAACTTTGACTATACATTTGTGAGGCGTTGAAAAGGTGGAAACGAGGCAACTTCCGTGACAAACACAACACCCAAAAGCCAACGACAAAACGAAGGATCAATTAATAATCAGGAAAAAGAGAATTTTTTTTGTTTTTGTTTTTACAGAACACAAATGGAAGTTATTTACTAAAAAATCAAAGAGACTTCTTTGTTCTGGTGAATTCCCTCTCTTTCTTCCAAACTCCCAAGGCAGAGAAAAGGCCCCTCCCCTGTTCGCTTGGGGTCGCATTTTCTCTGCCCCACATCACCCTCCACCCCCAATTTCCATTAATTTTCTCTCTTCTTTCTCTCTCCTCTTCTTCTTCTGTATCTGTTTTCTCATTTGAAAAGTTGGGTTTTTGTTTGGCCCATTATCTGTCTCTCCCTCATCCTTTTGCCCTTTGTTTGTTTTTCCTTGGAAGTATTGGTCCTCAGTTTTTCTTTCCACCTCATCTCTATATCCTGTTTTTGAAAAAGTTGGGTTCGTGTTTTCTCCATTTTCTTTCTCTCCCCGTCCTTTTTTCTGCTTCAGGTTTGGGGACATTGGGTTTGGGTTCTTGGCTTGTTCCCCTCTTCTATTTCTCTCTCTCTCTCTCTCTCTCTCTCTTATATATATATATATATATATATTATTTTTGTTAGTAGTAGTGTCGTCGTCGTCGTCGTCGTCCTCGTCGTACGTCGTCGTCGTACGTACGGTACGGTCGGTTGGTTGGTCGGTTCGTTCGTTCGTTGT